TAGGTTTTAAACATCAATTCTCTTTTTTCTTCTTTAATATTTCATTTTGATATTCTTCTTTTAAATCTTTTTGTTTTTTGATTTTTTTTCATTTCAACATACTTTTTCTACAACTTTTTTTATAATTAAAATACTTAAAGAAAAACACAAATGTTTGGTGTTGAATTAATAATGACCTCATAATTAGAATGGAAAGTTCATTCTTTTCAAGGTATTACAAATTATAAAAACCATTATAATTGATTCATCAATATACAAAATTCAATAAATATATTAAAGAAATATTAATTGATTGAAAAATTTCTAAAATTATTTGAAATTGCAGTCGTAAGTTTTGAATTACTCTCTTCTTGTCAATCGTTACGATAACATATTAATACATTACGTTCTCTATCCTGTATATATTTTGTGGAACTTACATATATTTTCGACGAAAATAGTGAGTGTAAGTTTTAAGTTCACGTTTTCACGGCTCCCTCTCTCCTCACCTGCTTCCATTACAGACACTTAGCAACGGAAGCCCCCATTACACACTTTAGCAATTGAGAATAACAGGCGTCAGACTTTCTAGTTATTTTGAAAAATTGATCAGGTTATAATTTTGAAAGATAATCAACATCATTGTTTGTGAGCTGATTAATATATATAATAGTGCGTAAGACCTTCTGTAGATATCATGGATATGTAAAATAGATTTATTTGTCGATTAATTCAATGATCATAATAAAAAGAATGTTGAATTAAGGAAAGCGAATTTAAAAAAATGAAAGATAATGAGCGAATAGCAACTATGCAGAATAAAAATAGGGAGTCCGTAGAAGAAAAATTATGTTCGAAGGGTGTGGGTGGGTGTGGATCTGAACGTGAGAGAAGACACCCACATCCACACCCACCCCACACCCACACCCTCTAAATCGATTTAGACTATGGAATATGGATTTACATTATTTGATTGATCTATGCATTAGTTTTATGGATTAGACAGTTATTGATGTATTTCGATAATATACTGATGATGACCGCATTCACTAGCTTGTTACTGACAGTCAATGGTCGAAAATTCTACTACTTACTATTTTTATAATCTTAAATTGAAAATAAAAATAAAAGAAATTTCATTATTACTGCATTTTTCTCTACATATTAAAGAAAATGAAATAGTTAAAGAATCATTACGATTATATCTTGAAAAAATTTTGTGACTACGAGTGTAGTTTGTCGAAAGATGATAGAAAAACTATTTTAAATGTGAGATTCGCATCTACATGGAGCTTTTTATCATTTACAATAGACTATCAAGAATCATCGAAAACTATCTACAGCTGTCAAATTGATATCATGTTTGTGTTGATAGACTTTAATAATTATTTTCCACATCTGTATGATAATATTTTTATACTGAGTTATTTGAAATATTCGGATTATATGTACGATGAGATTTTTTTATTAGTGAAGCCATTGTGTTTATAGTCATAAACTACATTTCTTTTTAAGAATAAAGTATTTGAATTATATAAAAGTGAATTATGTAGGATTGTAATGACTCGATATCAACTGCTCATGAATTTAGCTGTCGAAATTTTTATTTTGAGTAATTTTATTTGTATTCTTATTAGAAAATAATTATGATATATTTTTACTGACTTTTTCTTTCTGATATAATTCGAGGTATAAATATGTTTTGATATGTTGCCTTACACAATATTCGCTATTTGAAAATAACACAGGTAAATCGTCTTGTGCACAACGTACATGTGTTGTGTAAATACGTTTGTGATATAGTGTGCAACAAAAAAAAACCATATTAAAAAAAGAGAAAAAATCCAAACGACATTAAGAAAGGAAGAAGCATATAAAGTTGCCTTGCTGAAAACCTAAAGAAGAATCTGTAAAGTTATTCAATTTAGAAAAATGATTCCTTCTACTGGATGATAGTCAAGGAAGAATGTAACTAATAGACATACTACGTCTGTTACAAAGAAATCAACAATTTTATATAGATCTTTGAATAAGACGATGAATTAAGTAATATCCTAACTCACGAAAGGAAAAGATCCAAAAAATAACAGGAGAAAAACCTATCTTTGAATAGAAGCGGAAAAGAAGAATAGGAAAATACATATGGCAATGAAGAAAAATACATATTACGTCATAACCAGAGGAAAATAACAACATATAGAAGAACGTGCCAAAGTGATCCATAACAATTAGTCATAATACTTCTTAGCAATTTTCCAGCTAAACTTGTGAGTTTTGTATCTCTCTGAAGGGGCGTTCATCTAAGCTGATCTTTTTTACTGTGAATATAACTCATTGAGCTCTACAAGATAGGGTAACATTCAGTCAATTTAAAGACATTTGTGTTGTTTGTGGAAGAACCTTCATGAAATAGATCTATTATAGGTGAAATCATCAATAATGATCGGAAGACTAGATATTTTTCAATCAGTTTAGGAATTCTAATCGATTTTAATCGGATTATCGGGCAAAAAACGCTAGGACCTATTCTCATTGAAACCTTCTTATTTTTCGGTCCCCCCTGTACGATCGGTGGAAAAAAGCTCACAGAATGACTTAATAACATGCACATTGAGACGAAAATATGGACGACGATATATTGTCGCATATTAAGGTGTTCGAGTCACGAGGAACAGAAAAACAAAATCGAAGCTTTTTCTCATGAATCAGACGCAGTATCTTGTTTTACTGTCATGTACACTTTAATTATTTTTTCAGGTAAATGCGCCAAGGGGATGTGCAATGTGTAAAGGTATATATAAGCAAAATATTGCTTTAGTATTACATAGAGAAAAACGTCGATATATTATATCGTTGTTCTGTATGTGAGCACGCAATTTTTTACACGAATACAACGGATAAATGTCATTTTTTTATCGAAAGTATAGTCCCCATGTGAAAAAGTCGTAAAAATTATGACTATAATCGATAGTTTTGGGATTAAAAATCTATTATAATAGCACTATTATAATAGATTTATAATCACAAAAAATCGATTATAATCAGATTTATTCCAATTATTTTTGCATGGAAAGTCTATGACTAGCTATTAATCCATTTTAATCGATTAGTGCTTATTAATCGAATTTAATCGGATTATCGAGCAAAAAAGCGGAGAGTTCGTATAAAAAACGAGATCTGTACACTGGCAACCAAAAATAATCGTGATTTTTCTAGGATAATTTATGACTGGGTAGTCGATCCACTGCAAAAGTAGTCTCTCAGTGAGTCTATGGAGTTTTTGATTTCAAACTGAGTTTTAAGAAAAAAAATATCCGTTTTTAATAACAATACGGAGAGAGAAGGTCAGGAAAGCTAAAAAACAGCCGGTTGCTTCATATAGAGCATGTACTGTATAAATTTTACCATTTCATAAGACTCTTGATCTCTCATCAATGACGCACAATCAAATGACATAACAACCTCTCTCGAATACGTACCCATTATGCTAGCAAATATCTATGCCTCAAACAAACCATTATATCTCATATGAACCCATATATTTGCCATTTTCTCTGTAAGCACGACAACATAATAATACAGCTACATATGCATGTATGTACCCCGTTTTTTATGAGATGGGGGACTAGGGAGACTTAGGAATTCTACAGCAATATATGCATGTGTATATTCCCTTTTTTTGAGAAGGGGAACTAGAGAAACTTGGAGGCTTATGAATTCCAAAGCTATATAGATACATGTATAGCTCTGGAATTCTTAAGTCGCCTTAAGTTCTCCTAGTCCTTCCCATCCCAAAAAAAGAGCCTATGCATGCATATATGGCTCTAGAATCCTTAAGTCCCTCTAGTCCTTCATCCACAAAAGATGGGGGCGTATCGATGCATATATAGCTATAGAATTCTTAAGTCCTTCCAAGCCCTCTGAGTCCCCCCTCATCTCGAAAAAAAGTAGTGGCCATATAGACACATATATTGCTATATTATTCTAAAGCCCTCCTAGCCTTTCTTTTCTTTTTGGAATCAATAATTTTTATTGCTCAAAATTCATATTGAAATCAAATAGCTCGTTGTATGTTCTCAGTAGCTATTCATTACGCTGTAAAAATATCGTAGAATAATAAACCCTAGGAAAAGAGTTTATGCCAGTCCTAAACCTTTCATCGTATATTAATAAACCCTCTTATCGTTTATTGCCAGTTTCCTAAACCCTTTAAGTCAGTGTAGTTTACTTTCATTGGTTTCTCTTTGATTTCAGATAGAAAAACTATCTTCTGGATAATGGATAATTATGACGATACGCCAACAGAACAAAAATATCAGAGAATGACTGAGATCAAACTGCACGCTCGTCGTAGAAACTCTCGTTTAGTAATTGAAGATTCCAACGATCTGATAATAGGTACTCCTATCGTCGGTTATGCCCAAGAGGAGATTGTTCCGCTTACTGACGCATGCGTATCATTGGTTCCCATTGTTTACGATATATTGGCGTATGTGTCGATTGCTCTGGAACGTACTTCAAATGCTCCAGCAGATGGTCTAACTCGTGACGAATCAGCTTCGATCCGTCTCTACACAATGGAATGGACCGGCGAATACAGAAGTCTCTATTCTATTCTGAATGCAACGCTAAGGTCATCCGATCGCGAAAGCTTACGACCTTGGCTTAAATATCTCAAACTTCTTCTCACTGCTTTAGTCAAAGTACCGTGCGCACCTCTACAGACTGTTTGGCGTGGAATACGAAAGAATGTCTCCAATGAATTTTCGAAAGGAGCTTCGGTGACGTGGTGGGCTTTTTCATCAACGACAACATCGTTAGATGTATTGGAGAACGATATGTATTTGGGAAAAGTAGGAGAAAGGACGATCTTTTCCATTGAAGCTATGAATGGCAGGAATGTACGCGCTCATTCACATTATGACACCGAAGACGAAATTTTATTATTGCCAGGAACATACATGGAAGTACACGCACAATTAAATCCGGCCACCGACCTATACATCATTCATTTGAAACAGATGATACCAGAGGAATTACTACTTGAACCTCCATTCGAAGGTATTTAGAATATTTTCAACTGTTTATTTTGAATTGAAATATTTCTATTTTCAGGTGCATGTATTTATCCAAAGCTTGGGTAGGTTTCAACTTGTCTTCATCTAACTGCATATATATCTATTTGACAATCATCAGATTCAAACGAAGACCGTTTTAAGAGTCAGTTCACGAGAGGGCCAAGGATCGATCGAGTATATGACGTAATGGTCGTAAATTTAATTTTTGATTTCTTTAAATGTACATTGGAATGGCGATCATCTAAAACTACTAAATCCAAAGATTTAGCTCATTTAGTTTTTCTATAGTAAAGTTAACCCAGATCGATTTTTTAGCACTACCTACCTACCTACCTATGATCCAGAAAATAGTGATAAATAATTCTATAAATGTCTACTAAGATTGTACTCCAACAAGTTACAGAATTTTTTTACGCAATATACCAAAAGATATGTGTGATAAGCTGAATAAAATAAGCTATCTCAAATACTGTATATGATCTATTTACTGGTTTTATATAATCCAACATCAGTGAAATAGGTCATAATTTATGAGTGCATAACGAGAGATTATTGACAGTATATCTACTGCTATTCTTTAAAATCAAAACAAGTCATGGTGAATTTCAAATCTGTTATATAACTTTTGATTTTTGTACGACATAGTAAAAAAATATTGAAAAAAGAAAGTTTACTACATTGAATTAAATACATTCTAGAGAAATGTTTTCCTGCGAAAAACTAACCTCTGAAAAGCCATCATGGCTGCATTTTATTTACATTTTGCTTCGTAGTTCCACAGGGCTTAATTTTTCACAGGAAAAAAATTTTCTCTAAAATGTATTTCACTCAATGTAGGTTTCAACACTGATTCTTAATGTCACATTTATTTTACTTTACAATCGTGTCATGGCAATGAAAACCGTTAAGTAAGGATGTCGGCGTTTGCGTCCTTGAGCTTTCCGTTCTCAAGGAACGAGAACGCATCTCATACTGCGTTTTCTAGCATTGTTTCAATATGCTAGAGTTTTTATACATGTTTGCTCATCTTTTTGTGTTAGAGTGTTACGCATTTCTCGTTCGCTGTTTATAGGAACGAGAGCTGAAAGAAGTTTTGAATTTCTCAAGATTACCAATTTAGGACGTAAGGTGTTGGAAATGCAAAACTTTAGTGAATTTTATTTTTCATCGTATTTTATATGATTTGATAGAGCTTAAAAAGCTGATCCTGAATATATATATATATATAATTTTTTTCTATTCGACCACTGTTTAGCTGGAAAAAACTTTAAAAACATAAAAAGACTAAAATATAGTAATTGTAGCCACAAATTCGCTTTTCCTATAGAAACTGCCAAATTTTGGTCACATTTATTTTATACACTTTTTCAAAATATTATGATCTGAACCACCATGAAAAACTGAGTAGCAATAAGTTATTTAATTAGATGTATAGCTAATAAGATTAAAAAATTCTATTCGACATACACTGTAAATAAGTCCATCAGACTCAAACCATATATCTGTGAGCATTTTTGTAAACCTATTTAGTTATTTGTAACAAGAGATAGAAGCAAATGTCTTATCTCATTAGAATCTTCAGGTCTAACTTACAAAAGTACCTATTTACTTTTTTAGATTCTGTTTTATTGCTGAGAAAATTGAATATTTCTCTCGTTTGATGATAATATGAGACCAAAACAAAAAAGAGATACGATATACTCTAGGAGTGGAAAACTACTACGGCTATTTCTACAACAAAAAGGGTTAATGATAGTGCTCTAGGAAATAAGGCCTCATCGGATTACTAGTAGAATAATTGAAACCGTCTTGATTAGAAAAACGTCTTTTCTCCACATCTTTTTGTTATTTTATATTCTTCATTATTCATTTTTCAATCCCAATGATTACTGCATCAAATAGGATAAGCCGACCGAGCTCTATCAAATGAGCTAGACTTCGATCACTTTTGAGATGGTTCCTATATGAAACTGGAGATTTATATTGAATATACTCAATTGAGTTTTTGACGAAAATTTTTCATTAGACCTCCACGTCGTCGTTGGTACGCCAAAAAGCACTTCCTTATTACAATGAGCATATTGGTGATTGCTTGCATTGTGGGAGCCATTCTGGGCTCTGTTTTAGGAACAAGATCTACCACCACAACGCCAGGTATGTGTTATGATGCTCATTCGAAATAGAAGCTAAGCAACGGTTTATACTGCCAACCCCGATTGTCTGATTTCACTTGCAGCAATACATGGTGGCTCAAAAGTTTCTTTGCCAAAGAAAAAACGAATACCTACGACATTGTTTGACCATACATGCTGAGTTTCATACTGATGATAAAAGAGCATTTCTAGCTCATATCTATAAGGAAAAGGTTAAAAAGAATCACTTTGAAATATAATGATCGACTTCAATAACGAAATATAGCCTATCAAGATTATTGAAAAAGCTTTTTTTGATGAAGGACCCTTAACTGATTGAAAGCTTTGAAGCATATATTTTGTTGAATAGTAGAGATTAAGAGAATATCATAATTTTCAAAAGTTCTTGCTATTGTTAAGTTTTGACTGAGATATTGTATTTTTTAGTATATTGTGACCCATTAGTACTCTAATTTTCAATAAAATTTTAATTTCAAATATTTTGATCTCAAACGTTGTCCAAACTAAGGTCTCAAATACAGTAGTCCGAGTTCAAAAATTCAGAATTTTTAGATCTAGTGCTTTCGAGATCTCAATTTTTCAAGATCTCCGTATTTTACACAATATCAATGGAAAAGCACTTGAGTTCTGAAAAATTGAGATCTCGGAAGCACTATATCTAAAAATTCTGAAGTTTTAAACTTCAGCTAGTCTACTGGAGACTTTGATTTGGACAGTGTTTCACAACAAAATTTAAAGATCATTCCTCAAAAATATTTTTTCGATAATCTACATAGGCTATATTTCTTTATTGAAGTCGATAGTCATATTTCAAAATGATTGTCTTTCATCTTTCTCCTATAGATATGAACTACAAATGCTCTTTTATCAGCAGTATAAAAATCAGTCGATATGATCAAAATCTAGCGTAGATATTCAGTTTTTCTTTGGCAAATGAATTTTCAAGCCATTCTGAACATTAATTGACCTAGATTTACAATGATTAGGACACTCGTTATTTTTGCAAAGCCATTTCTCTCCCGAGAAGTTTCTCTTTGAACCTGTTTCTGTTTCTAGCAAAAGGGCCATAATCCTAAATCATTGTTACAACCGTGACAGAAATATCGGTTCATTGTTTCATTCAGTTAAAAAAACATGGCTGATGTTATAAAATCGAAAGCTCGCCCTTGTATAACATATTCATTAATATTGACTTAATAGTCATCGAGTTTTTTAATTCCACTGATTGAATTTTGGATTACATTTTAATTTCGTGTTTCTTTTATCTGTTCATTGTCGTTATTGTAGATATGGGGCACCAGAGTTGATGGATGCGAGTTTTATTAGGGGTACTGTGTGAGCAGAGTACGTGAAGAATGTGACGGTGTCTTCAACCTTCACACTCTCGCCTCTCCCATCATTATCAACTTCACTCATTACATCTACAGTTCTCATTCCCTCAAGGATTACATCTATCGTATTTATGAAATTACTCGCACTCCGCACTCCTGAGAATAAACCCAGCATTTTTCAGGCTCAAACTAGTATAAACCACTTGGAGATAGGCGTATAAGATGGTAGTAATCGAAGAGTTGAAAAATTAACATCATTGCTGAATTTCTTGTTCTTGATAACCGTTTGTCGAGTTTTTTGAATTACTATATAAACCTTGAAATCTGCGTGACTGTGAGCTTTCATAAAAATTCTCTGAAGATCATCAACATCTGATGTAATCAATTTGAATCTTAATTAGCACTCAGTAAATTTCAAGTCAAAAAATAGAAATGATGCTTTTCTAACGCGCACTAGTTAGTATTTTAGCTAAATATGCAAAGCATTGTAGTTTTTTTCTCAAAATGGAGAAGCTCTGTCTATGAATGAGATTGAATTTTTGTCCAGAACTGAAATGGAGATCTCAGTAGGAGCGCTGACGACTAACTAGGAGTTGATTTTGGAATTCAAATGAGAGCAATCTTTCTAGAACAGTTCAAAGGCAACGTTCAATGTTTTCTTTAAGCGACTAGAGCGAATGTCAAGGACCGGAAAATTATCGCGTGATAGGAACCAAAATTTCTTTTGTAAAGTACAGTGTTTATTTTTTTTTGTATTCTCTGGCTTCAGAGTTAAGTCTAGTAAAGTCTTTTGGTAGAAGCGTTACTTGTTTCAAACTTGCAGAGATTAAATAGTAATGTGAATGTCGACAGTTTGAAAAATTTCAATCATATTTTTATATCGTCTAGTTAGCTTCTCGATAGTCTGTCAAATATCAGAATATCCAGCATTGTAACTTCTGACAGATTCTAGAAGCTATGTTCCAGTTTTTCACTACGAAGTTCAAAGTTTGACAAAGGATTACAGGATTGTATCTGTGAAAATTCTGTATCTTTGTCGTAGATGATGTTGTTTTCGAAAAAAGCTTAATTCATTCTGAAACTAATCTGATACCCTCTGCGAAATGATGACGCTCCACTAAGAAGGATATTGCGAATCTTTTGAGGTTAATTCGTGTTTACAATGTCTATTTCGTATGTCGCACGGTAAATCGTGGAGAAACCAATAAGGCTAAATATCGTTCCACACTCAATTAGTTTTAGTAATTTACTTCTTATATAAACACTAATACTAATGAAAGAA